TTGGATTAGATCACCCCGGAAGTCCTTCCACCACAAGATTTATAATTCAAGGATCCCAGTGGTTAGAAACCTCAGTCATTTTTAATACTTCTTTCTTTTCCTTGCCACCCTCTTCCTATTCAACAACTTATGAAATCTCAATTCTTCCTATGCATCTCTAGGGGATCTGTTCTAGCCCCATTTACTCGCTCTGCAGCCACCCTAGTTCAGGTCCTCATCTCTTCTCACCTGGATTATTGTAGTAACCTCCTAAATGGTCTTGCCGTAAATCCATCAGCTCTCTAATCCATCTTTATTACTGTGGCTTCATGATCAATTTGATCAGGCCAACTCCCTATCAAAAAAACCAAACCAAACCAAAACAAAAAACCTTTCATGTCTCCCAATTGCCCACAGATATTAATATGGGTTAGCGGTCTCCCTAATGTGGTTGTTTCCTCCAAAAGCACTGATTGCAACCCATCTTCTCATTATGTGCAGTTCTTGTCTGTGTCCCCTTAGAGACATTCCACAGAGGGTCTCCCTGCTGGGGGGTCATATTCTAGGGAAAGGGGGAAAGGAAAACAATACTGCACAGAGACCACCCATCTGCTATCCCAGGCTCTCTCTCCGTGACCCACTCACCTCTTTTGAGGGGTCCTTTCTTTTTGCTTATATCTTCTGTTCAGTTTCTTTTGTGGAATTCATTGTTGGTAATATGATTCAGGATATTTATGCCCATCATATTTTCTATGTCTCCCTTTTTGATCACCAGTAATCTTGAATGAAAATCAAATCACAATTGCCTACCAGACAAAGTAATAACAACAGTAGCTGACATTTAGCTAAGACTATGTTTTTAGACATACATGATGTCATCTTCCCGTCACAACAAGCCTGCAAAGTAGATATTATTATTTCCATTTTATAGAAGAGGAAAGAAGCTCAGGGAGGTTAAGAGACTTGATCATGGCCATACAACTAGTATAAGATGCAGTCTACGAATTCCTTGAAAGCAGCTATATCTATCTCTCTATCTAGAGCCCCAAGCAGAGAGCTTTATACATATTTAGGTTCTTAAAAAGTGCTTGTTAAAATGAATTGAATTGGGGGCAATTAGGTGATGCAGGAGATAGAGTGCCAGGCCTAGTCAGGAGGGGCTACAGAGATATCTGAGGTGGAGAAAAGACGTGATGGCCATTCACAAGGGATGGCCTTCATTTTCTTAGTAAAGCAGCAAGGTGTGCCAAAGGGGGCTGGGTTCGGAGTAGCAGTAGGAGCTTGAAAAGTAAATGTGCTACAAGTCGCCACCAAGGAGAGCATGATCAAGAATCCACCAGAGGTGAATGGAAGGATTGCCATACAGTAGCAAGTGTTTATATGAGGTCAGGGATCGTTATTGGGCCTATGATTTTACTAATGTTGGGGATTCCCTGGTGAGAGATAAAGTGTAGTCCCTATTCCTCGCTTCTGCTTTGTTGTTGTTCAGTTGTTCAGTTATGTCTGACTTTTCTTGACCATCTGGGGTTTTATTGGCAAAGATACTACAGTGGTTTGCCATTTCCTCTCTCCCTCTACCAGTTCAAATTGGCAGCTTTTTTACAACTTAGTTTCCTAGAGCAGGCCTTCTTAAACTTTTTCCATTCTCTACCCCTTTTCTAGTTTCGGTTTTGAGTTTTGGCAGCTTTCATTGGAGTTGTGTGGCCTGAGGGCAAACACATCGGATTCATTATGTGTTTAATTTTTAATTAATTTTTTTGTTGCATGTTCAGGAACATTTTACTGCTGCCAAATTTTTCACCACCCCATAAATCCAGTTTAAGAAGCATTGTCCGAGAGCCCTGAATGGTTGGCCCAATGTCATACAACCAACATGTGTCAGAAGAGGGACTTAAAGCCAGGTGTTTTGGGTTCTGAGACTGGATCCCTACCCACTACATTATGCTGCCTCTCTAGTCAAGGTTAAATAACATTAATTTGCAGTGGACCTATTTGGCAGAGTGCTATGACTTATTTCAGTAATGTATATTGTCCATGGTCTAAGACTATAAATTGCTAGGAAGGTGCCATCCTGAACGGACAGATGTTCCCTCACCTGAAATTCCCTGTTCTACTGGGATCTGAGGTCCAGTCTTTATCTTTTATCCCATATGGAGTCAGGATGAGAGCAAAGGTGGAATAGGAAGTAGGGAGAAGGGAAATGCAGAGATTAGTCCAGTTGACAATAGGTAGGAAGGAGCCAGGTGTCAGAGATCATTGAACAAATGGCTTCTGCGGAGGTCAGTGATTCTGTCCCAACCTCCGATACTCACAGTGGTTCTTCCAGCCATCCCCGGATGAAGGAGAGGTGTCTGTCACCAGAAGACCACATGACGGCTTTTCAGGAGTGGTCAGGCCATTCACTTGGTCAGCCATTGAGAATGCCTGGAGTTGGGAGATGGAGAATCTTGTGGGAGGAATACCAAGGAGTCCAATGTCACTAGACAGCAGAATGTGTGGGAGTGAATAAGATATGAAAAGATTGGAAAGGTAGGACAAAGGTCTTTGGGCACCAGAAAGAGGATTTTATATGTGATCCGAGAGGTGAAAGGGAGTCACTGGAGTTGACTGAATGGGGGGGGGGAGTTTAGTGGCATGGTCAGACTTGAGCTTTAGGAAAATCAATCACTAAATGATCTAGCAGATGTTTATTAAACACCTTCCATGTGCCCAGCAAAGACAAAGCTCTCGAGGAGCTCATATTCCATTAGAATAGCCATCTATGAAGCCTTGATTATATACAAATCACATATAAATTAGGCACATGGAAACAGAAGCCCAACTATCCCAGATTACATCCATTCATTCAACAAACATTATTAAGGCTGCACTGTGTTGTACCAGGTGGTGGGAGAAGATACAAAGATACATAACTGTTTAGTCTAGCGGGCACAATAAGGTAAATATACGATTAATGACAATGCAAGTCTTCATTTCACTGGTTTATTTGCAAGCAACATCAATCCAAATACGTAGTACAGTACATGCATATTTGGTGTAATAGAGACAACTATACAAAAATACAACTCTCAGCAGTAAACAAAACATACACTCAGTTCAGCACAATCTGTTCCTAGTGGTAAGACCAAAAAAAAGAGAAAAATATTTCAAAACAAAAAATAATATTAAAAAAACTTTCTAGAAGGCAAAGGTTCCAACAGTTCTATGGTCCTATAAAAATTCCCTGCAGAGGGAGGGTGTGAGAATAGTACCCCTCCCATTCAATTCAATTCAATTTGACATGCATTTATTATCTCCCTACTGTGTGCAAGGCACTGGGGTAGGCCCTGGGGATGCAAAGACAAAATTCCTTCCCTCAGGGACCCTGTAGTCTACTGGTAGATACAACATGTAAACAGATAAGTATATACACAGTAATTTCAGAAGGGAGAAACCACTAATACTTGGGGTATTGAGGGACAGAGTGTGTGAGAAGCAGGAAGGGCTTCTTGGAGTAAGCTGCATCTGTGCTGAGCCTTAAGGAAGCTTCAGCTTCTAAGAGCCAGTTGTGAAGGTGAGCACCTTCCAGGTATAAAATGGTGTGGGGTCCACCCATGCAGGCATGTTAGGGGCTGGGGGCCGGGTGGTCTTTGACAGTCTGTGCGAAGTCATAAGCCTGACAAGAACCGGGAGATCACGTGCTGAGTTTGGGCAATAGCTAGGAGGGCAGTGCCACTCCACTTGGACCCCTAGACACACACAAATCACCTGGAGCACATTTGGGCCAAACCTTCACCAGACGCTAGCTTAGTAGATGAAGAGTGGAAAAGGGTGGGGGCAGGGTGGAATGATGGTAGACTAGAGCTAGAAGCAACCTCAGAGACCGCTTGGTCCATTCTCTCTCATTTTACAGATGAGGAAGCTGAGGGCCCTAAACGCTAAGTGACTTGCTCGGGAAGTAAACATCAAAGCAGGATGTGGATGGAGGCCCTCCTACTCCAGTGACAAAGCTCTCTCAATTGTACTAACACTACCCAGTGCGTTTTTCAGATGAGTCAGACAGCTGAGCTTAGAGGTGTAAGAGAACTGCTTTCTGGGCACCCGTTCCAAATCTAGGGCATCTGAATTTCTCAGTGAGCAAGAAGGTCCCTATGAGGAATTAGAAAAGATAGCACAGGGCAGAGATTCTTTTTAACATTCATATTTTAAAATTTTTGAGCCTCAAATTTTCTCTCTCCCTCCCTCACCTTCCCCCTCCCTGGGGCAGTAAGCATTTTAATAAAGGTTATACATGTTCAATCATGCAAAACATATTACCATGGCAGGGATTCTTAAACTTTCATCTCAGGACCCCTTTACACTCTTAAATAATTGAGGACCTTCCCCCAAAGGGCTTTTGATAATGTGTTATATCTATTGATATTAATAACCAATTAAGACAACTTAGTGTTATTATAAAAAATAATTTTGACCTCACAGATTCCATGAAATAGTCTCTGGGACCCCCAAGGCTTCCTGGACCACATTCTGAGAACCGCTGGAATAAAGAAATAAAGTTCTGGCCTTGGAATCAAGACACACTGGGTTCAGTGAACCCTCACTATTTTTTCTAACCTAGATTTGTGATATCATTGCTGTAGGGAGTTCCCTGTGAGGGCTTGACTAAAGCAGATCAACTCCTTCTCTGGAATCTATAGTCTTAGAAGTTGGTTGGGGCACTGACTGGTTAAGTGGCCTGCCCAGGGTCACACAACCAGGACTTCCTCCCCCTGAGGCTAGTTCTCTAATCACTGTTCCACATCACTCCTCTATTGATGCTACTTCTTAGCTATGTCACCTTGAACATATCACATGCACTCTTGGAGTGTCATCTGCCTTACCTACAAAATGTGGACAATTGTACAAAAGGGCAGGCAGGTGGTGCAGTGGATAGAGCGCTGGGCCTGGAATCAGGAAGACTCATCTTCCTGAGTTCAAATATGGCCTCAGATACTTACTAGTGTGACCCTGGGCAAGTCACTTAACCCTGTTTGCCTCAGTTTCCTCATCTGTAAAATGAGCTGAAGAAGGAAATGGCAAACCACTCCAGTATCTATGCCAAGAAAACCCCAAATGGATGTGACTAAAACAATTGAATGCCAACAATTGTACAAACAGTACCTCCGTCACAAAGCTGTAATGAGTATCAAATGAGATAATGGATGGAAAACATTTTGCAAATGTTAAAGTGCTATGTAAATGCCAATTACTAAAGTGTTTTTGGCATGTGCTTCATTTTCTTAATGGATCAATTGTTCATGTCATGATTATAAATTCCCTAAAATAAAAAGGAGAGAGATTGGAAGGAACATTATAATTGGAAAAAAGATACATCCTACCCCCAAACACAGCCCTTTCTCCATCGTTAGTTTTTGCACTGGGTTTTGGAGGCAACTTAGCGCATTGAGGGACAAAATGATGACATTTGGAATTGGGGGCTATGGCAGAGATGCCCCAGAGGAGCTCATTATGTGTCTTTTAAAAAGAAAGGAAGGAGACCTGCTTCCATTAAAGTCCCACTCCAATCCCTCAAGCTCTGGCAGCCCTACCAGGCTGCAAAGGCATTGAGGATGGGGGCGGCATCAGACTGTGTCTGTTCTCTGGGGACCAGTAGCATTATGTTCAAAGGGGATCCTCTTCCAGAGGATGTTGTTTGTTGGTTTGTTTTGCCACTGTAACTCACGAAGACCCAACGAATCACAGAGGTTGTGACTTGTGTTTGTAGAAGGAACAGTAAGTGAGGGAATACCTTTTTTTTGGGGGGGTGGGAGGTTCCAGTGATTTCATGGGCATAGTGAATGTCCAGACTCCATGACCAATGCTGATTGGCACCTGCCCTATAACTTATGGTCTTAGAGAGTTACCTGGGCCACTGAGAAGTTAAGTGACTTCCCTAGAGGCACACATAATTGTCAGGAGACTTGAACCCGGGTTGGCTCTCAATCCACCGCACCAAGATGGCCCTCGTGATATCTCTATGACAGAATCCTCCCAATGTCATCGGTCCTCTTCGAGAACAAAAGGTAAGCAACAAACAACAACAATGGCGGAATCCTAGAACTTTTTAAACGTTGAAGAAGGGAGGAATCAGCAAGGGCCAGAGAGAGACTTTGGTGCAAATCTTGTATGTAGAAAACAAAGGAACAATGTTGTCTGCTGATTACCACCCATCCCTTACAGTTTACTTGACGTGACACCTCCCTAGAAGTCTTCCTGGTTTCCTTTCACCATAGACATGAACCATCCCCTCCACCCCCACCTCACATAGCCCTTGGTTTGCATCCCTCTGAATGCAGAACGTAGATTCATAGAATGCTAGAGTGTGAGGGCCCTTACATAGAATCCTAGATCTATGGCTGGCTGGGACTTCGGAAGCCCCTTTGCCCAACCCCTTCATTTTACAGTTGAGGACCAGTGGGGCAAGCAAGGTGACTTGCCCAAGGTCACTAGGGCAATAAACAATTGGTGATTACTCTCATGTATTACTGTGTATCATAGTTATTTATATACATATATATGTATACATATACATATACATATATATATATATATTCCAGTCTACTGGACTCTTAAGTTTCATGAGATCAGGGACTTCATTTTATATAATCTTTGGATGGTCCTCAGGGCCTACCACAGGGTTCCACAGAGGGTAAGTGCTTAGCAAATGTCTGTTAAATTGAATTTGTTGACCACCCCAGGAAGCTAGGAGGAGTCAAAGCAAGGGGAGCTCAGTGGGAACTTAGTCCTGGAAGCTTCCTGGGCAAGGAAGGGAAGCAGTCATACAGACTGAAGGCATTGGATGCTCAGGGGCTAAGCCCCAGTGGAAAGTGCACCAGTAACAGAGAGAGAGCGAACAGCATCCAAAGGGTTAACTTAGGGAGAAGGGATAACTATTTGTCCATTAATAGGCGGCTGTACACGGTGAGAGGAGGAGGGGAGGAGAGGCAGAGTTCAAAATGCCAACTGATGAGTGAAATGAAGGGAAAGGAAGTTCCAGCTAGCACAAGGAACATTTTCCTTCTTCTACCCTCCTCTCTCCTGCCAATGGAGGTTTCAAAAGTGATAGGTAAGAGGAGGGGTCGTTTGAAATTTGATGTGGACAAAGCACCGACTCATTCCATTGGACAAGGGGAAATAGAATCATGGCGCCTGAGATGAGGGAAATCAATTCCAGAGAACTGGGGGACTCGCCTTATGTCATATGACTAGAGGCAGATCTGGGCGTAGAACCTATGACACCATGTGAGGTACAGAACTAGGCCAACCAAGCTAGGGCCTTCCTCAGCACTCTCCTCTAATGGCCTCCATTAGGACTTTCTTTGGACACAGGACAGCACTTCCAAGACCACCATCTCAGGCTGAGCCCTGCCTCTCTGAGCTCCCATTCTCCAAGGGCTTGGCTGCCAATGGGGACACTGGCATCTTAACTGTAAAATCTTCCCCACGTTGCTGCCTTTGGACGGATGGAAGTGGGAGGTTTCTGGGCGGTTTGTCTTGAGAGGACCCATAGCTGACACACATTCTGACTGTAATCTTTGCTTTTCTACTTGGAGCTTAATGACACTTAGTCTGAAATGGGAGGCAACTGAATTCAGAAACAAGAGAATTAAAAGACTGAAAAAAAGTGGACTGGAATTGCAGAGAATCTAAGAGATGGAAGGGATCTCAGAGGCCATTCCTGCCCTCTGCAACACCCCTAACAGAGGTCAGCCAGCTCTGTTTGAACCTCTCCACTGACAGGAACTCACTACCTGTTCTCCTTTTGGACAGCTCTAATTGCTGGGAAATTTCTCCTTCCACTGAATTTAAATCTGCTTCAGTGTAACATATACTTCTTGTTCCTAGTTCTCTCCTCTGGAGCTAAGCAGAACAAATCTGATCTCTATTCCTAAGGATAGCTCTTTGAATACTTGAAGACTTAATACCCTCTAAGATTTATTTTTCATGGACAAAGAGAATGAGGGTGGTACATTTGGCTTACTCCCACCCAACCTTTCTGAAAGTCCTGGGTGTTTATTCAAAGTCACCTAGTACTAACTTTCCAACAATTCAAGGATCTTGGTAAAAATTCCAGCTAGGAGAAGTTTATTTTTAGTGCTTTTAAATCCTTTCTCTTTGTCTCCTTGCCTTTCTAACCCAGATGTCTCATTATGTACCCTGATACCCAACAATCTCCCACTCTCCACAGAAAGACATCTGGACCACCTCTCTTTCTCATCATAATGTCTTTATCATAACGTCCTCATTCCTTATAATGTCTCTCCTCATTGTCATCATAAAGTCCTCATTCTTTTAGGTGAACTAGTAGAGTTAATGGATGATAATAGCTTTTCACATCTCCCTTTGCCTCAAATAATAAAGGTGCATTTCAATCTGAAACGCCAACACATTAATTTGAAACGCCAACACGTTAACCTAAGGGAGCAGGCAATATGGGAGATTCAGACCCTGGGCAGGCTGGTTAGGTAGGGCTACTTGGAAACATGCACACACACACACACACACACACACACACACACAAATACCTTCTTATGAAACTTGCTTCCATATGCCCCTTATACTGCTTTTATCATAACACCTCCCTACCCCCAATCCATAATTCCCTTTTCAATATATACTTGTAAGACAGCTCCTTTTTCTTTGAAAATGTCTTACAGGCTGCAATTCACGTTCCCTTTCCCAGATAAGAGGGAGAGGCAGTCACAGCCTGAGCTTTGTGGAGCAGTGCCTGGATGTGCCGTCGGCATCTCAGGCGCCTGGGAATCTCTTGGAGTTTATTCATACGCTCAGCATGTGTGTCTGAGTGGGTTTTCTGAGAGCCATCAGAGGGTGGAGCTCAGGGGTAGAAGAACCTGGCTGAGCTGCAACATTTGTCCATGGCTCATAATCTCACTCCATCTTCAGGCTTTACCTAGGCGGGGAGCCTGCAGGTAACAGAGGTGTTAGAACTGAAGCCAGCGGAGAAGCTCCAGCCCACAGATCACATCGCTGGTACCTCTACTGAATGACTTGGCCTGGTCTAACATTCCTGGCCAGTCCCTCCCGTTCCAGGAGGGGAAGCGACCGGGCACGGTGGGCGGAGTTTAGTTAGCAGCTCAGGCTCCTCCCTCCGGGCTTCGTTTTTCCCAGAGGCCTCTGGGCTGCTCAGTGGGTAGGACTCCTTGGACCCTGTCTTCCCAGAACAGGTCAGGAAGCCAAAGCAAGAATTGCGTAACCTGGCCAAGTCTTTGTGGGTGTTCTCACTCACAAAACAGTATAACACCGGGTCAGCCACACAGTTGAAACTAGTCAGGAGAAGGGAGAAGTGGTAGATGTTGAAGATCCCCTTGGCAAACTCACAGTTAACTTCCCACAGGTTGCGCACGACCAGCAGGACATGGTAGGGCAAAAAGCAGGCCAAGAAAATAATCATGGTACTCAATACTAGTCTCTGGATTTGGTCTTTTCTGTTCTTCTGAGTGCCGTGGCTTCTCTGCACAGCCCTTAGGATGCCCCAGTAAGAGAAGAAAAGCAGGCAAATGGGAAAGAGGAAACCCACCGAGAACCTGTAATAATTGATTTTACGCTGCCATGCCTCGATGGGATAGTGCTCAAAGCAGACCCGATGTCGGTCCTTATCCTCCACGACCTCACTATTCCTGAAGAAAACGGCACCGGCCAGGAGCTCCTTGACCCAGATCACCACGCTGACTCCAGCAGCGGCCTTCACGGTGCGGAATTGGTGGAAGCGGAAAGGATGGGCCACTGCCAGGTACCTATCGATGGAAATGCAGCAGAGAAAGCCCACACTGATGTAAATGTTCTCATAGAGGAGAATGCCGCAGATCTTACAGGACAGGTCTCCGTGGGGCCAGTCATCGTGCTGCAGAACATACTGGAGCCAGAAGGGCAGGGAGCAGATGTAGAGGAGGTCAGCCACAGTCAGGTTGCAGAGGTAGACCCCCAATTCATTCTTGGCTTTGACCTGTAGATAGCCATAGTAGAGAGAGAGGCAGTTGGCTGGGAAACCCACCACCAACACTAAAACATAGATCACCGGAGCCAGAGTCTGGTGAATGGTGTGGTCGATGGTACAGTTGCTAGAGAGATTGTCCACTGTAATATTCCCCATCTTCTGGACCAAAGAAGACTTTGCCCCTCAAGGAGTTCAAAGATAGTCTGCCTTTCTCAGTCTCATTTTGTTTCTGGGGACTTGGAGTTTGGGGTCCATGCTACCCCTAGGTCATGGCCAAAGGGTTGTTGTGGTTGTTATCGCTAGAACATATATCCCTAAAAGCCAAACATAGAAAAGTCCTTAGAAGGGTTAGCATTCAATGTTCTCCAAAGCATCTAGATAAGTAAAGATATGGGGTGTTTATCCCTCCTCCAAACCCAAGATGGTAAAATGTGACCTGCCCAATGGCTCTCCCTTCTCTCTCCTGCCCTGGCTCTGGCAGTCTGTGATTCCCCACTGTGGTGTGAGAAGCAGATATCACTGCCAGAGAATCTCCAGTGCTGAACCTGGCTTTCATACACAGGTTCAACAAGGGGTTCAAAGAGTACAAATAAGTACAAAGACATTTAATATATATTTTGGGTGGAGCTGTGAACTGGTCTAGCCCATTCTGGAAAGCAGTTTGGAACTATGCTCCAAAAGTTATTAAATTGTGCATACCTTTTGATCTAGAAATACCTCTACCAGCTCTATACTTTGAAGAGATCAAAGAAAGAGGGGAAAGGATCAATATATACAAAAATATTTATAGTGTTCTTTTGTGGTGTCAAAGAACTAGGAGGGCGTTTCCATTCATTGGGGAACAGCTGAATGAATTATGGCACATGAATGTGGTGGAATACTATTTCAGAAAAACTTGGAAAGACTTGTACGAACTGATACAGATTGAAGTAAGCAGAACCAGGTGAACAATTTATATAATAAAAACAATATTGTAAAGGCAAACAACTCTGAAAGACATTGGGGCTCTGCTGGCCAACCATAATTCTACAAGATTTATGATGAAGCATGCTATCTACCTCCTGACAGAGAGGTGATGGATTCTAGATAGAGAATGAGAGATACATTTTTAGACATTGCAAATTTGGGATTTGTTTTGCTTGACTATGCATATTTATTACCGATGTTTTGTTTTTCTTTTTGTCTCAGTTCAGAAGCGGGGAAGGCAGAAACAGGGGAACTAGGGATAGAATTGCTCCCCCCCTCCCCAAAAAAATGGAGAACAGAAATAGAAACTTTTTTTGAAATGCACAGAAGATAACAGAAGGAAAGCCAGAAGGAATCACAGGAAAGAAGGGCAGATCTGAAAGTAACATGGTAAATTTGTCATGTACTTAAAAAGAAAAGCAAGCTGTACATAACAGATGCACAGCTGCATGTATAACCCTCTCTTTCTACTCTACTGTGTATATTAAAACACTCACTTTAGTTGATGCTAAAGTTCGTAATTTTTTAAAATGTGAAAAAATAAAATAAAAATAAGCAAAAATAAAATAGAGAAAGATAATTATACTTAACAAAATTTCATGACAAGTATTAAGGTTAGTGACAAGTGTTAAGCTTCATGAGCTTAAAAAAATTATTTATGGGAATCAATTAAGCCATTAAAAACCAAGTTTGTCATCATCACTCTCTAGCTCTTCTCAGGATAGCCTCAGAAGTGGCTTAAATCTTGATAAATATCCTCATGGATTGAGGCCTCTCTTTGGTGATACTCATTAGGTTACAATGGAGAGAGTACTAGGTTTAGAGTTAGAGTAGCTGAATTCAAATCTGGTCTGTTACTTATTACTTGTGTAAATCACTTCACTTTTTTAGATCTATTTACTCAATTGTAAAATGGGGGGGGCTTGATTACCTCTAAATTCTCTTTCAGAGCTATGATCTTATGATTTCATTTGAACTTGGGAACTGACCATCCATTAGTCATTACCTTTCTCTGTCTCTGTTGAGTAGGAAATGCAATTTTTTTAAACTGGAAGTTGTCATTTTTCTCATAATATTCATTTTTTATATTTTGAGTTCTAAATTTTTTCCCTGACTTCAGCCCTTCCCCCACTGATTGAGAAGGCAAGCAATATGATACCAATTGTATGTGTGAACTCATGCAAAACATATATCTGTATTAGCCATGTTGCAAAAATAAAAAAAATAAGAAACAAGAAATTAAAAAGTGCAAAAAAATAGGCTTCAATCTGCACTCAGAGTTCATCAGTTCTTGCTGAAGGTGGGTAGGATTTCTCATCATGAGTCCTTTGGAATGGTCATGGATCATTGTATTGATCAGAGTAGCTAAATCATTCACAGGTGATTATTGTCACTGTGTATAATGTTCTTCTGGTTCTGTTCACTTTGTATCAGTTCATGTAAGTCTTCCCAGGTTTTTCTGAAACCATTTTCTTCATCATTTCTTATAGCACAATAATACTCCATCACAATCACATGCCATAACTTGTTCAGTCATTCCCCAATTGATGGGCATCCCCATAATTTCTAATTCTTTGCCACTACAAAAAAGAGCTGCTACAAATATTTTTGTACATATGAGTCCTTTTCCCTTTTCTTCAATCTCTTTGGGATACAGACCTAGTAGTGGTATTGCTGGTTCAAAAGATATGCATGGTTTTATAGACCTTTGGGCACAGTATCAAATTGTTCTCCAGAATGGTTGGACCAGTTCACTACTCCACCAACAGTGCATTAGTGTCCCTATTTTTCCACATACCCTCCAGCATTTATCATTTTCCTTGTCTGTCATATTAACCACTGTGATAGGTGTGAGGTAATGCTTCAGCATTGTTTTAATTTGCAGGAAATGCAATTTCTCATCAAAGATACCAAGGGCATTGGAAACATCTTTACTCCTGGCTCTACTCCGTGGATTTTTCTACTTCCTCCTCATCAAGCTTTGCCCTGTGGCCCTGTCCTCTGATTGATGAGTCTTTGGCTCAGACTATCATTTTGTGTTCCCAGGCCAAGATCCTGGCTCTTCTCCAGACTAACTTTTCTAACTCCTCCGCAGTAGTCTTAGTGCCTTTTCAGGTAACCTTATAGCTCTCCTCCAACACATACACTTTCTAGCAGCCTTTTATGTATCCTTCTCCCATTAGAATGTAAGCTCTTTGAGGGTAGGGATGATCTTTTTTGCTTGTCTTTAAATTCCTGGCACTTAGTATGTTGCTTGGCACATAGTACGCACTTAATAAATGTTCTATCGATCTATTAGAAGGCTTGAGAATTCTCTAAAGTATTAAATGTCAGCTGATGCCCTTTCTGTTTAGAAAAGAAGTCCCAGGGTGGCTGAGCAAGAGGCCATCAGCTATGATCACAACTAGAAGAAGTCATATTCTAATTTCAGGTCTTGATTTCCCCCTCTGGAATATGGGAACATTGTCAGTACAACCTTGATGAAGAGGGAAGGGATCAAGCATTTGTTAAGTATTTAATTACGTGCCAGGCACTGTGCTAAGTGGGCAGTTAGGTGGCAAAGTGAATAGAGAGCCAGGCCTGGAGTCAGGAAGACTCATCTTCCTGAGTTCAAATCTGGCCTCAGATACTTCCTAGCTGTATGACCCTGAGGAAGTCACTTAACCTTGTTTGCCTCAGTTTTCTCATATATCAAATGAACTGGAGAAGAAAATGGCAAACCACTCCAGTAACTTTGCCCAAATGGGGTCATAAAGAATTGGACATAACTGAAAAACAACAAAAATATGCTAAGTGCCTTATAAATATTATTTCATTTCATCCTCACAACAACTCAGAAACTGAGGCAAGCAGAGGTTAACTAACTTACCCAGAATTACACAGCTAGGAAGCGTTCAATGCCAAATTTGAATTCAGGTCTTCCTGACCCCAGGTCTAGTCCTATGGAATCCGTCACAAAGAAGGTAAGAGTTTAGAATGTCTTGGACCCTACTGGAAGGGACATAAATCCTACACTGTGTTTTAAAGTCCTTTGGCCTAGATACTGAAGCTCAATTAAACTTCCTCCTCCCAAGACTCTCATAAAAGACTGTGGAGAAAAAATTAAGTAGTCAATAGCAACGCGGTCCTTTAGGGTCCTTTAGCTGGCTTTCAGTAACATTAATGTTTATATTTCCACTGGAGTCTTTGCTGGAAATAATCTGATAATAACATGGAACGAAAATCAGATATCATCTAAAGCATGGTCCTTCTTGGGGGGCAGGTAGGGGACCTAGTGAGTGGGAGCAGGTGAGAGAAGTGTTTTTCCTTTGGGTTCTGCAGTTGCTCCAGGTTCTTCTGGCTTCCGACTTTGAGAGAGAAGATGGATGATGCCAATCCCACTTCAGGTTTCTGGAGGTAAAATAATACTCTGGAAGAAACTGACATGAAAGGAACTAATGTCTTGTCACTATTCCCAGCTTATGGACTAAAGACTGCAGGGAATTATCTGTTCTGTGATATCTGGGACTCTCTTTTGGGAAGTGGGAAGTAATAAAAGCGCTGGTGAACCATTGCAATGGGAGTATCCTGCATTTCTTAGGAGCAAGGGAAGGAATTAGAATGAAGTAAGGCACTAGAAGGAAATATAAAAACCTCCATGGACTGCCGGATGCTTGGAGCAATGGGGCAGTGATTTAATTAAATTTAATTGTCTGGATAACTTGAAAGTTAAATAAAAGTCTCTATTTGTTTCAGCCTTCATTATAAAAATAATGCCTCACATTTCTACTTCAACTCTACCATTCTTTCTAGTTACAGCATGATGCCCCTTATAATGTTGAGACTCTTTATAAAATGTAAGGATCCAATTTTTTTTTAAACAAAGAAACCCATTTATCCAAGTCAATAACAAAACAGAAATCAGAGAAAATATGTATAGTAGAATATATACCAGACAATAAGGGCAGCTAGAAGCACAGTGAATAGAGTGCCAGGCCTGGAGTCAGGAAGACTTATCTTCTTGAGTTCAAATCCGGCCTCAGACACTTCCTAGCTGTGTGACCCTGGGCAAGTCACTTAACCCTGTTTGCCTCAGTTTCCTCATCTGTAAAATGAGCTGGAGAAGGAAATGGCAACCACTTTGCCAAGAAAAATCTCAAATAAGGTCATTGAGAGTCAGATACAATTGAAAAATGACTCAACAACAACAACAAAATACTAGACGATGTAAGAGTGAAGGAGCTCTTTGATTGGGCGTGTGACAACTCAGTGCAACCAAGAGAATCCCAGGTATTGAAAGGAAAACTCCCTGAAGTCTCTAGGACAACAAACTGGGGATAAGGACGTGATGGGGACGTGATGCTAGTGC